CCACTCAGTCAGTCTGACAATCAGAAACTTTGATTCAGCCTAAATAAAAAAGATTCTAGGGTTAGAAGAGGCTGCTTATCACATGGTGCGATCTGAGAAGTGTGGGAAGATCAAATGCTTGCACCAAAATGTCTTCATCAGTTTGGTACCACCTCCTCTCTGTCCAGCAGGAAAGCCCCTCAGGGAGAGATTATCCTGATTGCCAAGGAGAGACTGAGGACTTTTTTATTCCCAAAGTACACAGAAAAGGCATAATCGTCAAACTCAGTAATTTTGCCTAAAGACTTTCTGCCCATTATTAATCACTGTTTTCTCTCATCACTTTATTCTGTTTATATTCTTTCAAAGGAAGGAGGAACCCGTACTAAGGCTAATTTGATTTTAGTCTATTTATTTATTTATTTGATGGACTTTTGCTATACTTATGTTGCTCAGGCTGGTGGCTTCTAACACCCTGGGGAGCTGCAGAAGGAAGATTGTAAATTCAAACCCAGCCTGGACAACACAGTGACTTAGCAAGACCCCTTCTCAAAATTTAAGATATTTAAAAATGGACTGAAGGGGCTGGGGATTTAGCTCAGCGGCATAAGCACCTGCCTTGTAAGCAGGCAGTCGTGAGTTCGATCCCTGGTACCGATAAAAACGAAAAAGACAAAAAATAAAAAAATAAAAAAAATAAAAATGGACTGAAGATGTAGTTCAGAATGAAGACTCTGTGTTCTCCAGTACCACAAAAGGAAGGAGAAGGGGAGGAAGAAGAAAAGGAGAGAGTGAGAGAGACTACAAAATTCTGTTATAATCTTAGAAAAAAATTTTTCTTTCACTTTGTTTCTTTTTGCTGTACTGATTGAAGTTAGGGCTTTCACACTGAGGTACATCCTAGCCCATTTGCTTTAGATGGCGTCTCACTAAGTTGCTAAGTTGCCTAGTATTGTAGCTACTTTTCTCATGGTTGAGACAAAACACCTGACACCCACAAGTTTGAGAAGGAATGGTCTATTTCAGGTTTCAGGTGTGGAGGGTTCACAGGCGGCTTGCTGTAAGGCAGGGTGGCACAGCAGAAGAGTACTGCAGAGGGGAAACAGCTCAGGCAATGGCAGCCAGGAAGCAGCCAGGCAGCAAGCAGCAAGCAGCTTGCCTGCTTTTCCCTTTTATCCTATACAGGCTATGAGCCATCCATACCCAGGGTGGAGCTTCCATTACCACACCCTGAATCCTAGTGTCGCACACCCTAGGCACACATTCTAAGCCAGCCACCTTTGAAACTCCCTACCTACAATCACATGAGGTTTTGGAGGGACATCTAGACAAAAGCTGTAACATCTAGACTGGGCTCCAATTTGCAATCCTCTTGTCTCAGCCTCCTAGAGTTCTGGAATTACAAGTGTGTACTATCATGCCTGGCTTTTTCTTTCTTTTTTAGTGGTGCTGGGTACTGAGGCCTTGCACATGCTAAGCATACACTATACCACTGAGCTGTGCCCCAACTCACCACAACATTTGATATTTGATTGGGGATATAGTTTTAATACATAAATATTATACTACAAAGGATATCCAAAGGTACCAATGAGCACAAGACACTCTTAAAGTGCACCTGAGTAGCATAACTCCAAACTATATAAAAATAATTTTATATCTATATTTGGAAGCAAATCAGAGATGGTGTGAATAAAGAATGACAAACTAGTTGTGACAGTAACAACTGAAAGGCACTCACTACTTCCTTCTGCTTAGACAAAGTCTCTGACTTACATTACCCGGCTCCTGCCTTTCCGCAGTCACTATTGGTCTCTCTCCTTGCCTTGACTCTGGAATGTATGTCTCCCTTCAAGAAGCCCAGTGTGGTGGTGCATATCACTAATCTCAGAACTCTGAGGCTGAGGCAAGATTTCAGGTTTGGGCCTAGCCTGGGCAATTTGGCAATTTAGTGATAACCTGTTTTTTGTTTTTTTTGTCTTTTTCCTTTTTATCAGTACTGGGGATCGAACTCACAACTGCCTGCTTTCAAGGCAGGCACTTAATGCCGCTGAGCTAAACCCCCAGCCCCAGTGATAACCTGTTTTAAAAAAATTTAAAAGAACTCAAGACATAGCTCTGTCCTCAGTGTGAAGGTCTAGGTTCAATTCCCAGTACCACCAAAAAAAAAAAAAAAAAAAATTAACCCTCACTGCCAACATGGCAAAAAGGAAAAAGAAATTAAACCTCACTGTCAATGAGGGTGCACTGAGGACAAGTTCATTCATTCAACAAATATTTACTGTGTTACTGTGTGAGGCACAGGAGTGAAGCAGAAAACAGGCACATCCCTGCCCCTGGTGGAACACAGGTGGAGGAGACAGATAAGGACAGCCATAGCATAAGCAAAATTACAAACTGTGAGGCGTGTTTCTTCCAAGAAAACAGGAATTTCTGTGGTCATTAGTGGAGCTCGCCTTCCTGAGGGAAGAGGCAGTGCCAAGGAGATACTCAAGCCAGGCCTTGAAGGATGAGGAGAAATCAGGTGGCAAAATGTAAACAGTGCTCAGAGGAAAGCATTGAACTCTGGGCCTTCACACTGAGCTACTGCCCCACCCCTTTTTAAAACTGTTTATTTTAGGACAGGATCTCAGTAAGTGGCTAAACTGCCCAGGATGAGGCTATGAATTTTCAATTCTCCTGCCTCAGCCTCTCAGAGGGCTAGGATTTCAGGCATATGCCACCATGCCCAGTTTGAAACCTAAATCAGATGATCTGATTTTTTTGTTGTTGTTGTTTTGGGTTTTTTTTTTTTTTTTTTTTGCTGTTGTTTTTTGGTACTGAATATTGAACTCAGGACCTTGCACTTGCCAAGCAGGTGCTCATGCCACTAAACCATACCCCCAGCCCTATGTTGTTTTTGAAACAGAGTCCCACTATGTCCCCTGGAGTGCTCTTGAATTCTTGATCATTCTTCTGCCTCGGCCTCCTATGTGCTAGGATTATAGGAGTACACACACACACACACACACCCCATGCCTGGATCTTTTAAAAAAAAAATCCTTCAGTGACTTTTGTTACAGGCTGGGTTTACCATAGATGCAGAGATAAAGTTTGGGACTGAGATATTTGTTAAGATTTTTGTTATTGGGGCTAGGGATTTAGCTCAGTGGCATAAGCACCTGCCTTGCAAGCAGGCGGTCGCGAGTTCGACCCCCGGTACTGAAAGAAAAAAAGATTTTGTTGTTTTTGTTTTTGTTTTGTTTTTGTTTGGAAGGGGTGGGACTGGGAATTGAAGTCATGACTCTGCTCTTACCAGGCAGATGTTGTGCAACTGAGCAACATCCCTGGCTGTTTAGTATTTTTTTGAGATAGTCTCACTCTGTGGTCCAGGCTGGTGTTGAATTTAAGGCAGTCCTCTGTTGGAGACCACTGTGAAGTGGCTCTGAGCAGGATTTAAAATTAACTAATTGGCTTTCTATATTTATCTGTGAGTCTGTCCTAGGCCTAGGCCTCTTGCCTGGCAACAGGAGCTGATTCATAGTAAGTGAACCTCTATGAATCACTGGTCCTGGCTGAGGCCTGTAGTGGCCTGTGAGGCCAGAGATACCTCAAAGGGCAAGATAAGGCCACAGCTGCAACACCTTGGCCTCAGCACAAATTGAGTAAATAGAGACTGCAGCTAAAGGACTCTCACTCTTGCAGTGGCACTCCTACCATAAATGTCATCATGAAGATAAGATGGTTCTCCTCAATTGGCATAATTTACTACTTGGAGAAGTCTTTGAAATGACTCCCAAGGGCCTGCTCCTTTCCTGTGCTTTCCTCAGTTTCCCTGCTCTTTGTTTTGGATCTAATAAAAATTGTGGTCCAGAGAAGTCTTTGTCTTAGCCCTCAGAGTCTCAAATTCAGCTAAAGGGCTTGGATCCTCCTGGCACCCTAAAATCATACTACTTGTCTTATCTTATTTAAGCCTTCGCCATATACAGTCTGGGAGAGTGTGGATCTAGGTCAGGACCCAATAGTCCTCCTTCTTTAGCCTCCCCAGTGCTGGGGTTATGGCATGTGCCACCACATCTTGCTTGTTAAGGTTTAATATTTGTGAAAGAAAGTGAGAAGAGACGAAAGTGGCAGAGAAAAGAATTAGTGATATAGCTTAGCAAAGCTCTGGCCAATCCATCAGGGAGCTCTGAAACAAGAATTGATCAGAATGAGGCAGGCGGGGTGGCACATGACTGTAACCCCACTTACTGAGAAGGCTGAGATTGAAGATAGTAAGTTCAGGTTCAGCCTGGACAACCTAGCAGGACCCTGTCTCAAAATAGAAAATAGAAAAGGCAAGGGGGATTGGCTCAGTGTCCAAGGATTAAATCTCAGAAATGAAACAAAATGTAAAAAGGAAGAAAAAAGAATTGATCAGAATGGGACATGGTTGGGGTTTTATTCTATCCTTTTATGTTTTGAGACAAGGCTTTGCTATATAGCTCAGGCTGGCCTTGAATTCAAGATCCCCCTGCCTCAGCTTCCCATCTACTGGACTACAGACTTATCCCTTATACTCTGGTGTGGCTTTATTACAACTTTTCTCAGTCCCTAGATGTGGGCTGCCTGAGAATTCTATGTCCTTAAGCAGTAGGACTCTTTGTGGTTGAGGTTAATGCTGACAGAGTTGTCAATTCAAGGCTTTTTGTGGACCACAATCTTCCTGTCTGGACATCAGATCCTGTCTTAAAGAGGAGCTAGGTGGTGCATCTCCTGGTCCATCTCACCAATACATTTGTAATAAAAGTAGTTTAATACTCTAAATAAGCCAAATAACGTAGCTCTTGCCTATTATCATAGCATTCTAGGAGGCTGAGGTAGTAAAATTTTGCACAAAATTTGAGACCAGCCTGGGTATCTTAGTGGATTAGCAAGACTGCTTCAAAATTAAAATTAAAATGACTGAGGATGTGAGGATGCAGATCAATGTGAAGGCTCTGGGTTAGATCCTCCCCTGACCCACACACACTTGGACAGTGAATAACCTAGATCCCACTCACCTTTCTTCTGTTTGTCTCTGCATTTTGCTCTGGGCACACAGGCTTTCCTGGGTCTTGAAGCCCTTCTCCTCCTGGCCTCTGCTTTCTCTGTGTCCCTTGCCTGTAATTTCACATCCCAGTCTTCACAAGATCAGCCTCTTCTAAATTTGTCCACTTCCTCCTTGGTCTCTATAGTGTCAGCCTATTTCGCTTTCACTGTGCATATAAAGAAGTCTGAATTACTTGACTTTTATTTTCATCTATCTCATCAATTAGAATAACTCTAATCCCAGCTACTCAGAAGAATGAGCAGAATATAAATTCCACAAGGGCATGGGTCTGGTCTGTTTTTGTTCACTGCTCTCATCCCAGTCAGTACCAGAACATAAAAGACTTTTGTGCTTTGTTTTTTTGAGATAGGGTTTCACTATATAGTTCAGGATGATTTTGAACTATGAAGCCCAGGCTAGGTCTTGAACTCACAGTGATCCTGCTGCCTCAGCTTCCCGAAGTGCTGGGATCACAGGCATGTTTCACTGTGCCCAGGGGAATGCAATAGTTTTGATAAATATTTGTTAAACTGAACTGGATGAGGTGCAGAAATGTATGTTGAATTGTACTATAGATAGCTAAAATTTTAACAAATTGAACAAATTTACTTAACTAATACATACTTATTAGTGTTCTGAGGTTAACCTAAAGAGAGATCTTCAGTGGGCTGATACAAGTTTGTATGGTCTGTCAAACAGCTAAAAGGCAGTTAATTTGTGTGTCGATAGAAATGTTACAATCATCCAAGTTTCTTGTTTGTTTGCTTGTTTTTGTTGGTGTTGTTCAAGGAGTGAAAGCAAAGCATAGGTTAGCCAGGATATACTCTTCATTATAGAAGCAGGTCATACCCTCTTTGCTTGGTTTTGTTTGTTTGCTTTTATTTATTTATTTATTTTTGCATGAGAATTGAATTTAGGACCTCATGCTTGCCAGGCAGGCACTGTGCTGCTGGCTACATCCCTGGCCCACCTGCTTTGCTTTTTAAAGATAGGATCTTGCTGTGTGTCCAGCTGGCCTTGAATTGCCTCAACATTGCTAGTGCCCAGACTAGGAGTAGGTACCACACTTCTGGCTTGTCTTGCCTTTGTTGTTGGCTTTTTTTTTTTGTCTTTTGGAGACAGGATTTCACTATTTTGCTCAGGCTGGCCTTGAATTCATTTTGTATCCTCCCAAATGCTGGAATTACAGGTGTGTGCCACTATACTCCACTTCACTGAAATTTCCAGTGACACAAAACTGGGAATATGGTGGCAGATTCTCTGTTCAAAAGTACTTGAAAACCCTTGAACAACAGAATAGATAATGAATTGCTGCTTATTATTTATACACTATAGTACAGCAATGAAAATAAATGAACTACTAGTGCTATGTAACACATGACAAATTTTGCAGAGATAATGTTAAGGGAAATAAAGAAAACACACACAAAAAAGAAAATAGGCCGTATTATTCTGTTTATATGTATTTCAAAACCAGGTAAACTATTGGGTAGAGTTAAAAGCTAAGACTGGCTGGGCATAGTGACTCAAAATCTAATCCTACATGTGTGATATGGCATGTATTTATTACAAGTATAAAACGTGGGACTCCGGGAGAACATGGCGGACAGACAACAGCAACTACCCGAGGCTCTCTGAAAGGCTCGGCTCAGAGGCCAGGAATGATGCGGACTAAGGAGACACGAACCGGTAGAGATATGCTCTGCTGACTCAGGAACGAACTGGGCTGAGAGAAACCAACTTAGAATACAGTCCTGGCGCTAAAATAGGAACAGAAAAGACTCGGTGTAGAGGCTCGACCCCGCGCCATTGGAAACCGCGATTTGGGTTTCCCACCGCCCGGCGGCTGGCTGCCTCCACAGCGGCTCGGCAAGGAGAGACGCGCAGAAACTCTGGGAACGGGAGTCTGCGAACGGAGTCGAAAACAGGATGGACAAGGAGGCATACACGAAAACTGACTGGTGGCGAGGTGAGTGAGAAACTGACCCCCTACCACAGTTTGACTCCAGCGGAGGACTTTCTGGGCTCCGGCAGTCCTGTAAGAGCAGGGCGCGGTGGCGACTCCAGCCACACATCCCCCTCTCAGACGGGATTGGTGAAAAGTGCCTGGCCTGCATGACGCTGCTGGCAGACTCCCTAGGCTGGCCTAACCCAGATCCCAGAGCCTGACGGTGGCCCGGAGGAGCAACTGACTCCCGCCGTAGGCTGCCTCCTCCGCAACTCCCTGGTGCGCAGCGGTGGGCGGGAACAACTAGCCAGCGCAATTTGATCAGGCTGCGGCTGACAGGCAGGGAAGCCGGGCCTCCTATGTAAGCTTGCATTTTATAAGGAACAGAAAATATGGGAAAGGGAAGCAACAAGAAAGGCTCCTCGGCCCCCAATCCTGAGAAACAGGCAATAGTGGACACCGCACCAATATACATTAAGCACCATATAGAGAGCCTCATAGACCAATTCAGGAATGAAGTTATCAACGACCTGAAGCTAGAAGTATGCAGAATAGTTAGAGAAATGCTAAGCACCACCCAGGAAAAAACAGATGGTGGAATGGAAGAACAGAAAAAGAGGGGAGAATTGCTTGATGGAGAAAACAGAGAAAGCATTGAGTATGTGAAGCAGGTTCAAAGGGACTATCAAGAAATTAAGAAGTCTATCCAAGACTGGCATAACAGCTTGAAAGAAACTAAGGACAGACTATCTGAACTGGAGGGCAGACTTGTAATATGGGAGAATGAAATGAAAAACTTCTTAAAAATAACAAAGAAACAAACAGCAATAATACAAAGACAAGAAGATGATAAGAGGAGCCATAACTTAAGGATTAAGAACATAAAAGAAGAAGTAGGGACACAAACAAGTGAACTACAAAAGCTACTCACAGAAATAATCCAGGAGAATTTTCCTAATTTAGCAAAAGGTAAAGATACTCAGATGTATGAGGCATACAGGACCCCAGCTACCTACAACCCAAACAGAGTAACACCCAGGCATATAATAATAAAAATTCCAGAAATTCAATACAAGAACAGAATATTAAAAGCTGTAAGAGACAAGAAACAGACCACTTACAAGGGAACACCCATCAGAATTACAGCAGATTTCTCTTCACAAACCATCAAATCACGAAGAGCATGGGGGGAAATAATTCAAGCTTTGAAAGATAATAATCTCCAGCCAAGATTGAGATATCCTGCACAACTGTCCCTGGAAATTGATGGAAAAACGAGGTGCTTCCAGGATAAAGAGGAACTGGGGGAATTTGCAACCACCAATTCAACCCTACAGAAAGTATTGCAGGATATTCTAAAAAAAGAAAAATACAAAGAACCCAGAAATAGTGGCGGGGAGGCCACAATGAATGGAGCAGAGAACAAAATGAAGAAGACAAACTGACAGCTACTGACAGAAAAAGAGCTCAACAGAAATGAGACAGAGAAGATTGGATGATAGGAACAGCTATTTTGGAGAAAATGACATCTTAATAGGTAATACTGATTTAGTATCATCTTGTTTTGAAGTCTCATCTAGCTTTTGTTCTTCTGTCTCCAATGGTCTAAACAGGTTGTATCTTATGGAATTTTATTATGTACGATAGTATAAGCAAGAACCTTTTAAAGACAAGGAGATTATACAGAAACCATTGTTCATTTTCTGTTAGTCGATTCTAAATACTCTATAATGCTGTCATTCTCTTAAATGGTTTTACGTTGTTTTGATATACTTAATGCTACAGTATACGAAGTTGTACTCAAGGACTTCAAGGAAAGAGTCAATATGGTAACTACTTTTGGGTCGGAAATATCTGGTGGTGAAACACTATTCTACTTAAATGGTTATGTTTTGATCTGCCCTGTTTCGCTGTTATGCCCTCTTTTTTTCTCAATCTCCACTCCATTATTTACTTTTTTATTTTTATCCGTTTAATTAAAGGGAAAAATAGCAGGATATAATATAGTAACCCACTTTGACTTTCTATTATCTCGATTTGAAGCCCTGTATTACTCTCACCATCTTGTTTTTGACTGAGGTTCCTCTATTCTGTTTTGCTGGATAGTATCAGGTTCGAAAGTTTAGGCATCAGCTGAGAAGATAATGAGATTCATTATAACGCCCATTCTCGTTGACTTTTATCTACTTTTGAAGACCTACAATGTCTCCAATGTTTTGGGTTTGTTGGTTCTATTCTTTACTGTTTTGTTCAATTGTATTACAACTAATGATATAGGCAATTCTATTAGAAACAGCGGGAGGCATTATGGTAACCATTGTTGATCACCTTGTATTATGTTTTTATATTATCTATTATGTCCACCCTTTTGACTTGACCGATTCTGTTCTGTTATGTCACATTTGGTTTTACTCTCTTCCAAAAAAGCAATAAGAACCGTGGGAGCAATGAAACCCAAAATGTGTAATAGTCATTGTACAAAAGAGAGGAAAAGAAAGTGCTCTAAACTATATAACTGCATGTATATTTAAGTGTATAAGATAGAAAATGATATCACAGAGTTTTATTGGATCATTGAACAGAACTGTTTGCAGTATCATTGTTGGAATGTCCACTCTACAAGCTTTAATTTTGTGACTTGAACAATTATTTCTAAGATGGCAATATGTAATCCATTAACTAGTGATTTCCTACTGCGCATTTTTTTCTTCTGTAAATCTGTATAACTTGTACCCCTTCACTGTTTTTTTTTTTTTCTTTTCTTTTCTCCTTAAATAAAAAAAAAAAAAAGAAAAAAAAACAAGTATAAAACGTGGTCTGACCTACTCAGTCTAAAAACAATTTTCTGGATGGATGGAAATAAATTACATTAGTTTATTGTCAAGGAAGCTTAGGAATAGGCAAGGTGGCACATCCATAATCCTAGCACTCAGAAGGCAGAGGCAGAAAGATTGCGAGTCTGAGGCAGATTTACTCCACTCCCTTTGCCATGGTGTTTCTGCCCTGGGGCCAGCTGACCATGAACTGCAACCTGGGTTACTGGAAGCTAAAATAAACCTCTCGTCTGTTTACTTGTGGGTAAGAGGTATTTTGTCCCAGCAATAGAAGGCTGACAAATACAATATTTTACCTATGGTAGGAAATTATTGGCTCAACTAGAAGTTACAGAAAAAAAAAATCTTCAAAGAAAGAAACACAAAACAAATTTTTTTAAAAAAAGGAAAAAATTCTCTGGTTTTTATTTTGTTTTTCTTTTTTCTTTGACTTTACCTTCCTCCCTCTTCCTATTTTACACTAGTGTCTCTTACCCCTCCCAGTAACCAATCTATCAATTTAATTTTTCATGAAGTTACCAACAGATAAATAGAAAAGCACATGTTCAATATAGGCTATTTTGTCATTCAGAAAGTGATTACAAAAAGTGATTACTTTTAAAAATACTTATTTTCAAATTTTTAAAAATTTATTTTGAAACAGGGTCTCATTAAATGGCCCACATTGGCCTTAAATTTGTGATCTTTCTGTTTCAACCTTCCAAATAACTAGGATTACCACTGTTTTATTAAAAACAACAAAAAAACATGCTTTATAGTGTTCTTTGCAGTTATCATTACAGTTGACAAAATTTTTCTCAAGCTGGCATGGTAGCACATGCCTATAATCTCAGCATTTGAGAGATTGAGGCAGGAGGATCACTGTGAGTTTGAGGCCAGCCTGAGCTCCACAGGAGTTTCAAGGCCAATTTGAATTGCATAGACTGCCTTAACAAAACAAAACAAACACAAAAATATTTTTCAGATTAAATGGTAAACTGCTTCTCTTAACTGGAAGGCCATCTTTCATTATAATTCAACAATGGGGCTGAACAATTATCTTATTTGTATTCTGAATTTTTAAAGAGTATCTAAAAACTAAGAGACTTCCCTTAAAATTTCTTAAGACTGGGTTCGGTGCTCCCCCCACCTGCCTGATATCTCAACACTCAGGAAGCTGAGGCAGGAGGATTGTTGAGTTCAAGGCCAGGTTGGGCTGCAAAGTGAATTCAAGGCCAAACTGAATTGCATAATGAAACCCTGTTTCAAAAAGACCAAAGGTAGTGGGGAGAAAGACATGTAGCTCAGTGGTATAGCACTTGCCTGGTAAGCATGAAGTCATGAGTTTGATTCCTAGTTCCAAAAATAAATAAATAAACAAAAGAAAGAAAACAACTTATAAATAGAGGAGAGGTATATTTTAGCTCACATTTCCTGAGGTTTCAGTTCATGGTCAGCTGGCCCCAAGGCAGAAACATCTTGACAAAAGGAGTGGAGAATATCTGCTTAACTCATGGTGAATGGGAAGCAAAGAAGATGGAATTAGGAATCAGATATAGCCCCCAAGATCATGCCCCCATGACCTGCTTCCTGGACAAGACCCCACCTCTTAACAGTGCATACAGCTATGAATTCATCAATGTGCTAACCATTGATGAGGTCAGTGCCCTCACCATCCAGTCATCACTTCAGAAGTTCAGTCAAACTGATAACAAAGATTAATTGGCACAAGTACAAATGCAGACTTTGGATCATCAATAGATTGCACTGTGACCAATCAAAGGATATAATAATCTTTGTGTGCTTTGTGCTGTTCAAATCAAATCTAGCATATTGCATTAATTTCTGGATACCACAAATACTCTCCAGTCTTTGCTGCCAAAAGAAATAAATTATTTTTCTTATTACAAAAAAAAAGATTAAAAATCAGACATACCTGAGCCAGTCATGATGGTGCACACCTATAATTCCAGCACTCTGGAGGGTTGAAGCAGGGGGATGATCAAGTCCAGCTTGGGCAGTTTAGCAACTCAGCAAGATCCTGTCTCAAAAAATAAAAAGGGATAGGGATGTAGCTCTGTGAGAAGTGGCTCAACAGTAGCTCAACACCCACTCTTAGAAAACAAAACAAAAAAGATTCCAGTTGCCTTCAGCCACATATTATTAGTTCTGTGACCTTGAGTCCTAGTTTCATTTATGCAATAGGGATAATTATAGTTACTATATTTCAGGGTTATTATTGGAAAATTAGGGGGCTGAGGATTTAGCTCAGCGGCATAAGCGCCTGCCTTGCAAGCAGGCAGTCATGAGTTCGATCCCCGGTACCGATAAAAAAGAAAAAGACAAAAAAAAAAAGAAAAGAAAATTAGGTAGACAGGCTAGGAAATAGCGTCTAGAAGAAATGTAAAACATTAGTGTCAATGTTATTAAGGGAAGTTTTATTGTGAAAATTATGCTTCACATATAAATAAAACAACAATGTTGTCTCCCGGAGTTAACTTCTGTTAACTTTTAGATATTTGTGCGTTCATTCAATGTGATCTATAAGATCATTATGAGACTTGGTGATAGATTAGTAGCTATCAAATAACTGAAGAAATGTCTTGTGGAAGACAGGTAGACATTTTTTTCCCCTTAGAGCTGTATCCAGCACCTCTCTCACTCCATTTAAACTTTGAGACAGGGCCTCACTACATTTCTAGGTTTCTGGTGATCCTCCTGTCTCAGCCTCCCAAATGCTAGTCCTGGATTACAGCATCTGCCACCACAGCCTAGCTTAGTGATGATGACACTTCTAGAAATGAGTACCCAAACTGCAACCCAAAACCCACTTACTTACTTATTTATTGGTACTAGGAATTGAACGTAAGATCTTGTGCTTTCCAGGCAGCTGCTGTGCTGCTGAGCTATCTCCCCAGCCCTACCCACTTATTTATTGCAAAGTGCCAGTACTGCAATTAAACCTGAATAATGAAGTTTCAGTTTAGAAAAAACAACTGTTATTGGCTCACGTGCCAACAGGGAGGGCTCCATGTGCCTGTTGCAGCATGTAAGCCATAGGCTCATCACTGCTGGCCTAGCTGAAGCAAACGTTTTTTTGTTGTTGTTGCTTATTTTTTTCTTTTTTGAGGCGGAGACTCGCTATGCAGCTCAGGTTAGCCTTGAACTCATGGAGATTCTCTTACCTAAGCCTCTCTTACCTCTCTTACCAAGTGCAAGATTACAGAAATGTGACACCATATACATATGTACATATAAACAGTATTGTGATCTAAGAGGTAAAGGTCTGATAAGAACTGTTCAGCAGTGCAATGGCTGCTCACACCATAGGGAACTATTTCCTTGTTAGAACAAATAACTGAGTTTGACTGGTCACTATTTGCCAGAAAGGTTATAGAAGAGCCAGGCATGGTGGCGCACCCCTGTAACCTCAACACTTACTTGGGAAGCTGAAACAGGAGGATCGCCAGTAAGTCTGAGTCTAGCTTGGGTTACATAACAGGCTCAAGGCTATCCAACCTATATAGCCAGACCCTGTTAAAATAAATAAATAAAAAGAAATTCCTTTGTATGTATACATACATATATTTGATTCACAGTCCACATGGAACAGTTAGTACGGTTCTTAATAAATACTGGGTGGTGAAAAGAACTCCAGATTCATTCCATGAAGTCAACAGAAAATTCCTAGCACAGGTCAGGAACAACTTTTCTCCCTCTTACAGAGCTGAGGACGTGTAGTTCCACCAATTAATCCCACTCAGTGTGGGGAAAGAAATCAAAGGGAGGGTTGGGCCCTCAAAAAGTTTACATCTTATCTTTGGGCACTGTTTGTCTGCTTCTTTATTAATTGGGGTTTCTTTCTGAGAAAAAATCCTGACTTGGCAAAAATTCATAGTAATTATTCAGGAGAAAGGAAAAAGAAGAAACAAACAAACAAAAAAATACATTAGTGTGGCTGGGAAGGGGGAATCCCTAAGAACAGGGTGTCAGTGGGGGAGAAGACTGATGGTCTGTGGAAGACCCACCCAACGGCTTTTGATGTTTGACCAATTATTATCTTTTTCTTCCTGCTATAAATGCAGCTGCAATTTATATAACAGGATGTTTAAAAAGATTAAAGAGAAACTGAAATAGGGCTCTGACGTGATAAGAGTTCCTAGAATACGTATTTCTGGAGGTTTAGAATATAAGTTCCTGTACATTCTTAGAATAAATCATTTATTTGTTTTTCTTTTTAAAAAAGAAACAAGTAAATTTTGTATTTCAATATGGCTGCTTCCTGCAGCAAGTGCTATAGGACTGACAGACCAGGGTGAGCAAATAGCGTAACACAAAGAAAGGCTGGAACTAGATCAGTCTGTGGCCCCTGCTGCTTCTAATTAGCTTTGAGCTTTGGGGCCAAAATATTTTATCTCTATATTATGCAACAGTTTGGAATTTATTTGAATTCATCCTGTTTATCAGAAAATGTATTCTTCTAGTGTTCAGGTAGGAGAGTTGTGTGGAGTTTATGCTTGCAGTCAACCAACATGAAGATAAAGTTAAAAGCAAAAAAAACCCCCCAAAATCCCCCAGCCAAGCAGTGGCAATGCCTGTGATTCCAGTGCTCTGGGAGGCTGAGGCAGGAGGGTAGAAAGTTGGAGCCCAGCTTGAACAATTTAACAAGACCCTGTCTGACAAAACTATGATACTGATTTTCATCAAGTTTTAGCCATTAGTTTTAGACTCAATTGATAATTTTTTTTCTTCCTTGGTGCTGAGATTGAACCCAGGGTGTTTGCATTGAGCTATGTCCCAAGACCTTTTTGGTTTTTTTGTTTGTAGTTTTAAAACAGGATCTTGCTAAATTAGCCAGGCTAGGCTTGAACCTTCCCAGAGCCCTAGGATTACCAGTATGTACCACCACACCAGGTGAAAAGTTTGCTCTTATCATAGAATGCCAACTAAAAAAATATTTTAAAATGAGAGAAATATAAGATCACTGTTTGGCAACCATCATAAGAGTAACTGATTCAGTTAACAATCATCACTGGCACATATCTGTAAGATGGTACACACCTGTAATCTCAGAGTTGTGAGAGGCTGGGAAGGAGGATTATAAATTCAAGTCCAGCCTGGCTAACTTGCTTAGCCACTTAGAAAGACATTATCTCAAAATTAAAAATTAAAAAAAAGGACTGAGAATGTATTTCAGTGCTAAGGCCTTGGGTTTAATTCCTAGCATCAGTACTACATACATACAGAAAGACAAGTTTCTTCTCTCATGATTGATTTGACTGTACCAGTACGGACTCATATATCCGTATTTTACTTAATGTGTTATAATCTATTGTTTTGCTTTTTGTTTTTTGAGACAGGGTCTCACTATGAATGCTAGAATTGCAAGCATATGCCACCATGCTGAGCTGTAGTCTATTGTTGGTGGTACTGATGTTCAAATTGTCCTTGTTGTGGATAGTGGTAATCATTTCAAACTACTTGGTTGAGACATGTCCCTCAAATTTTTTGAGCTTCCTAACTTTATGATACTACAAGATTTTCCAGGTTTATCTTGTATGTTAGTAGCAAACATCTTGAAATTAGCCATTTCTCTAGAAAACTCTAGTTCCCTTAGTGGAGAATATTAGAATGATCTGGATTCTAGGTGTGCTAAATTGTACTGGAATCTCACTAGGTGCTGTGACATCTACTGTAGGCCCAGGTATACAAGTGGTTGAGGTAGGAGGGTCATTTGAGTGTTTGTGACCAGCCTGGTCCACTTAGCAAGACACTTTATCAAAACAGAACAAAACAAAACAGGATTATCATTGCTTGTAGGCCCTCTCAGAGTACCGGTTATTACACAATGACATACATGTACATATGCATGCAAGCACACAAGTGTGCACACACTTAATAAAGTCCTGTGCTCCTATTAATATTTTGAACTCTGAACCAGCACTACAGAGTTCATCTTAGCCTCTCCTATTCCCATATTGTGACTCTGCAATATGGGAATAGTGAGAAACCTGTGAAATTTTGTTCTTAATTACTATGCCCAACAACACCTATGCCCCTACTGGAAATCTCTCTTCTGCCACACAGCTGCCATCTTGAAATCAATCTGTACCACTGGCTGATGCTAGGTTGGTGACATAGGTGATTTTTTTTTTGTCTTTTTCTTTTTTATCGGTACCGGAGATCCAACTCACAACTGCCTGCTTGCATTTAGGCCGCAGAGCTAAATCCCCAGCCCCCATAGGTGATATTTCTGTGCTCTCTTAGGTGTGATGCTACCCTGCTTCCTGTGACATGACATTGGCTGCACTCGAAAGCCCAGCTTTGTTTCACTAATGACATGGCCAATCTGAAAAAGCTGCTTTAAAGTCCCAATGTCCATAGAATAGTACAGTAACAGCTCTACTGGATATTACATACCATTTTTAAAATTTAGTTCCCATAATCTAGGATTCAAACATGAATCCAGTAAATGTCCAGAGTATCTCTTTCCTTTCCCTTCTGTCTTGCAATCTTCTCTTCCCCTAAAATGAGGGGCTTGCTTTGTTTTTGAAACAGGATCTTGCTACATTGTCCAGGTCAGACTTGAACTTGATATTGTAGCCCAGGCTGGTCTCTACCTCACAATCATTCTGCTGCAGCTTTCTGAATGCTGGACTTACGAGCATGCACCACCTCACCTGGGCTTGGGTAAGTTTTTCTTTTTCTTTTCTTTTCTTTTTTTTTTAAGACAGGGTTTTACTATGTAACCCAGGCTGGCCTCAAATTTATGGTAATCTTCCTGCCTCAGCCTCCCAAGTGCTAGGTCTAGGCTAGGATTTTCTTAATCCCTCCCATCCTTGGAACCCTGTCAGGCAAATGAATGCCAGAGGGAGGCACTTTAAATTCTTAAAACAAAACACTCCCATTACATTTTGTTACTCTCTGAAATTGTCTGCATTAATAAGAAACCATCCTGAAGACAGAGGATTATGTTGCAGCATCAGTGACATACAAAAAAGGATTGTGGTCCTTTTCCAAGGATTTGATCCAAGGAAAATA